TTTTGGTGGAAATAGTTTTCAGCTTTTTGCAGTAAGTACTTGCAGTTTATTAATGAATAAAACGAAAATAAAAGTTGATCAATGCGGCAAGTAGTCAAGGCTTGGATGTTGTGATGATCATTCGGTTTTTTTCATACTTATCTGCAGTTGATGATCATTCGGTTTTCCTCATTTCCTTTTTTTTGTTTCTCTTAACTTAAAAGTTAAAAGATTGTGCCTCCTCTAGGCATAGTGTTAACACCAATTTGTTTTCTAGAGTATGATCAGAATTACCTGCATTATTATATCCTGTAGTTGTTCTTAGTTTCTTATAACCCGGTCCTGATATACCAGTGATCAGTACCAGTAGCTTCATATGAAATGGGTTGGGTTAAATGTATTATGAAGATGGTGCATATGTTGAAGTGCAATTTTTATGTTCTTCGTGGCTATTGTTTTGCTTTTATTATATAAATATTTTATTGACAATGTTTTGGTTTACGGGATCCGTTTCGTACATATTTTTCTGTCGCCTTTTCTTCTAGAACTTAGAGTTTGTGCGGCCTGCCTTGTTTTTGCCTTCGAGTCACGAGGCTCTGATTTTATGGGGAAAAGCCTGGTGGTGATGAAGTCATTGAACCTATCTAGTCGAGATGCCAGCCTATTTAATCAGATCTTGTGCTGGTTTTAAGTTTTCGAGTTCTCGTGAAAATTATAATTAATTATAAAACAATGGTTAAATCTGATGCTGGTCACCTTGGCTAGTTGGCTTCTCGAGTTTTTCTGGGTGCCTGTGATAAAATTTTTCGTGCTTATAGCTTAGTCGATAAGTGGAGTCAGACGTGTTGAATAATGTGCACTTTGTTTTTCTTTTTAGATTGCGGCATCTCTGTGAAACTCACTATATCTGAAAGTAGAGTGATAAATCTTTTGTTGATGTGTATTGAATTTTGTTGAAGTGCATAAAATCATTGAGGATTATGCAGTTGAAAATTTTTAATCTCAAGTGCCTCGGAAATTGATGGCCGACTGTAATCAAGAATTTCATCTCGATTAATCATTTTTTACCCACAGTGTGAAATTGTAATATATAATATTTACATGCTGCAGTTTTCTTTCTCTAAATTTACCATATCTATTGAATTAAGTTGCTGAAAAAAAAAAAAAAAAATCAAGATCCATGCCTTGAAATGTTCTTACATATCATTGAGGTTGGTATCGAGATTCGTTTGAGTGATTACCATCTTTCTAAACGATTTGATTCTGTTGGTAACATGCATTTTAACCGGACATTTTGGTCAGCCTGAAAAACTCTGGTGAGAGGTCTTCTGTTTGACTCTACGATTTTCGGATGAATATTGTAGTTCGAAAGCGTGGCATACGAGGTTTATGTTTGTGTAGCTTTTTCCGTTTTTTGCACGAAAATAATGATTAAAAGGGCGTTTTATTTATTTTCAGCTGTTATTTTTTTTTTTGGTTTCTGATAGAATATCTACGTCTTGGCTTCTCGTTTGCTGGGCGCCTGTGATAAAATTGTCCGTGCTTATAGCTTAAGTCGATAAGCAGCGTTAGACTGTGTTGAATTATGTGCACCTTTATAGAATTTGTTTAAGTTCATAAATCTTTGAGGATTATGTAGTTGATATTCTATTGATAAGCATGTATATAAAGTTAATTTCAGTTGCATCAAGTGAACATTGTCAGAAACATAGTACTGCCTGCCCAAGTTTGAAAAACATACCTTTTTTTGTTTAGTTTAAACGTTTTATGCACAATACACATACCCTTTCTTGTAGTATCGCGCCTTATCTCAAAATTCAAAAATTCTTGATCTTTCAAGACATTTTTTAGTTTAAAAGTTTCAATATGCTTTAATAGCAATGTCAAACGAACGGTCGAGTCTGGCCCATCCCAGCCCGCACGGGTTCAATGGGGTGGCCCAAAGTGCCCCACCCACTTCAGCCTGCAGTCCGACCGCAGGCTAACTTGCACCTAAGAGCATCTCTTATAGAAGGTTTTGGAGCAGGTTTTTATTTTTGAAGTTGTAGGTTTTCCACTAGAATGGTGAGGTTTGAGGTTTGAGAATTCAAACCGGGAGTTCACTTCTATACCTCTCCCAAACCTGTAAAATAAAATTAAAAAAAAAAAAAAA